AAATAAATTCACGGGCCCGAGATCTGCTGCATTAACAAGTCCTCTTGCTTCGCTTAGGAGTGAGCTCAGCATTAGAAGGAGGCTGTAGGGTGCCTGTTAGACCCGCGGGACCCGAGTCTGTCCAGGCTCGGCTTGGCTTCCCAGGCCGCACTCAGCGGCCCTGGCTTCTCGCTACGCTACAGGCGGTCTCGACACTATGTAGGGATGGGAAGCCCTCGGGAGTCACTCCTTGGTGTTTATACAAACCGTTTGCTCTTTGCTTAATGTGGTACTTCTGCTGTCATTGGAGAGATTTCCGGGGGACGTATGTGGGAGGAAAATAGGAAAGTCGAGTGTGTTGAAGTTTTGTTTTGTTTTTAAAATAATGACATTATGCTCTTATTTTTTTTGTTATTTGACTTTAATTGCATTTTATGTATTTAATTGCATTTTATTTATTTATTTCCTTTATTAGTTTCAGGGGTAGAATTTAGTGAGTCGTCAGCTGCGTACAACACCCAGCGCTCGTCACATCCCATGCCCTCCTCAGTGCCCATCACCTGGTTACCCCATCCCCACACCCACCTCCCCTCCAGCAACACTCAGGTTGTTTCTACGGTTCAGCATCTCTTTCGATTTGCCTCCCTATTTTCATCTTATTTTATTTTTTCCTTCCCTGCCCCTATGCTCATCTGTGGTGTTTCTTTAATTCCACAAACGAGTGAAATCATATAGTATTTGTCTTTTTCTCACTGACTTATTTCACTTAGCATCATACCCCCTAGTCCCATCCTCATCATTGCAAAGGGCAAGGAGTCTTTCTTTCTGATGGCTGAACAATATTCATCTCTCAATATTCATCCACACCTTCTTTATCCAGTGGATCAAGAATCAATGATCAGTGGACCCCGAGGCTCCTTCCACCGTTTGGCTGTCGTGGACACTGCTGCTGTGAACATTGGGGTGCAGGTGCCCCTTCAAATCACTATGTTTGTATCCTTTAGATAAACACCTTGTAGTGCAATTGCTGGGTCGTAGGGCAGCTCTATTTTTAGCTTTTTGAGGGACCTCCACACTGTTTTCCAGAGCGGCCGCACCAGCTTGCATTCCCACCAGCACTATAACAGTTCCCTTTTCTCCACATCCCCGCCCACATCTGTTGTTTCCTGTCTTGTTAATGTTTAGCCGTTCTGACAGCTGCGAGGTGGCATCTCATCGTGGTTTTGATGTCTTCGGAGAAATGTCTGTTCACGTCTTCTGCCCACTTCTTGACTGGACTTTTTGTTTTTGGGGTGTTGAGTTCGATAGGTTCTTTATAGATGTTGGATGCTAGCCCTTGATCTGATAAGGCGTTTGCAAATATCCTCTCCCATTCTGTAGGTTGTCTTGTAGTTTTGTTGACTGTTCCCTTTGCTGCGCAGAAGCTTTTTATCTTGACGACGTCCCTATAGTTCATTTTTGCTTTTGTCTCACTTGCCTTTGGAGACGTGTCTTGCAAGGCGTTGCTGTGGCCGAGGTAAAAAGGTTGCTGCCTGTGTTCTCCTCTAGGATTTTGGTGGATTCTTGTCTCACATTTAGGTCTTTCATCCGTTTTGAGTTTGTCCTTGTGTCTGGTGTGAGAGAGTAGTTCAGCTTTATTCTTCTGCACTTTTAAAAGTATGATGTCACTGTTTTTTTAATAATGACATCATACTGTTAAAAAAAAACCTACACATTTCACTAAGAATCACATCTCAAAAACTTTAGTAGCTGCCTACTGTTTTTCTCTGGAGCGTCTAGAACTCTTGTAAGAAGAATATAATGGAATTGGTTAAGAAAGCCTGTTCTTTCATGCCGGCAAACTTTAGCTCACCCCCCGAGGTTTAAAGATATCAGTTGCTGCAAATACCGATTTTCATTGATCTTTCATTGTCTGTGTTCACAGTTAGTAGGAACATGAGTTGTACTTCCCGGTGCCACCATCTGGGGTTTCTAAGCCCCTTGCAGGTGAATGTGCTTGGAGATGTATTCCTCTAACGAAACATGTGTACTTCTCTACCTGCAAGTTGTTCTTGGTAAGGACTCAGATTAGGTAAAGTGAACCCGGGCACAAAGTTCTTTGTTGGAAAGCTCTGAGAAGAGTCGTGTGATTGTGTTCCACTCAAAACTTGGGCTTTGTTCAGCCACGACAGGGATAAAGATGGGTCATCTAAAAGTTAAACTAGCGAAAGTCTACACGTAATGGGAAGGTTGGCTGTCTGCAGGGCAAACCAAAAAATTGTATGGGTGGCACTGGGGGGTTTGGGAAATGCCCGTATGCGGTAATTGAGGTAACTTGACTATAATAACCCCAAGGGAGCAGGGATAGAAGAAGATTATGATAGAGAAAATGAACACGCCAACCGGCCCTGCTAAACAACACCGCATCCTGAATATATACTCTGAAGAGAACGTCAGCAAAGGGGAGGATGCTCAGTGGGGGGGTCATTATTAGGGCACAATTACCCAGCACCGTTCTGTGTGTGTGTGTTGGGGGATGGTGAGGGCTGGTAGAGACCAAGTCTGATGGATAGGAAAGTTCCCATCAGTCACCAGAGATGGGGATTTGGTTATGGGGTAGGATTGCTATTTTAGTCATGGCCCGGATGACGTAACCCTCAGGATCTCTCTTTGCTCTTATCTGATTTTATGCCCGTCAGTGACCATTCTGGTTAGTAATCTGGTTCCTGCAATCCTGATAATGTGAAAGAGTCTGACCTAGGAAAGACCCTCGCTGTAGACGAGTAAGCTAGCATGCCTGATTATGCACCGGGCTTTTGGAAATCCCTTGGTGTGAGTTAGCATCAGTGGATGCAAACAATTCTGTCTGGCCTGACTAAGCACACCCTCAGACTTCTAAAGCTGAAAGGCAGGGCGCAGCCAGCCTCCCAGGGAGGCCTCACAGCTCATCACATCAGTAATGGCCCAGTCCAATCAGGCCCAATTAAGTTCACCGGGAGAGGAAGTGCTCTAGATAAAGTCAAAGCGTCGTATCAGAGAAGTCTGGCCGCCAGCCATGGTCCTAATAGTCAGACGGGGTTAGGAGCTCTCGGAAGGATCAGGACACAGCCTCGTGAGCGGAAGGCTGCAGGAGCACGAGGTCTGGCACAAAGCGGGAGGGCCAGAACCCCGGCATGGCTGACTTGGCCGCGCAGTACCAGGTGGGGGTTCGAGTACCTACTTCCTCTGCTCAGGAGTCAGATTGACCCTGGGATCTGGAAAACGGCTAGAACTACAGAAACAGTCTACTTTTGTTTCTAGGGACTGAGGGGGCAAAGCTTAAGCACAAAGGAGTTAATTGACTCAGAAAAATTGGGGGCTAGCATCGGCCTCAGCACAGACTAAAACACGGGGCACGAATGATGTCCCCCAAACCTATTTTTTCTCAACTTGTCTCTTACGTAGATGCGTGTTGCCTTGAGTCTCAGACAGATTCTCTCCTCCTGAGGCCGCCCCCTGGCAGCAGCTACTCCTGGTCTCCTAGTCTCAATATTTTGGCTTCAGTAGAGGACAGAATGTCTTTCCCAGAGCCTTGCAGTGACTCCTTCCCTGTAATTGGGTAACTTGCCCATTCTTGAACCTTTCATTGGGACCAAAGAAATGTGATTCTCTGATGGGTCAATGTAGTCATATGACGGCTCCTGAAGCCAAGGGTGCAAATGCCCTCATTAGAGAGAAGTATCATGGCACCTTGGCCCTAGAAGTAGGAATCTGCTAGCGAGTGTGTAATAACTCACTTGCCCAATCAACTAGTCCTGCAAATGGATGGCGTGGAGCTTCAGGCCCATCCTCCGCCATGGCTAGCAGCAACGTGAGCAAGAGAGACGGGAGCAAACGGGTCCCCCCACCCGTGCCTCCCTTCCTATGTTCCTGATGACAACTATCGCAGTAGATTTACATTTTCTTCATTAGTTGTTCAGTTTCTCAGATGGTTATTGAATTGTGGGAAGTACTAGAGGGAGCAGTCGTCAGGTGGAACAATAAGAGCATTTTTCGTATCAATGGTTTCAGAAAAACAACTACCTGTTATTTCTACTATGGTAATATGGAGTCAAACAGCGCGCAGTGTGCAAGCTCTGCCTTGTAATTAGGCCGAAGGATGGGTTGACAGAATAGTTGATGGTAGTGAAGACAAACGATTTTTAAGAATACTTTGCATTTTTTTAGCCATTATTCCCAAATTATGCAATTAGATGCTGACGGCACTATTTTATATATATAAGGATACTGATGGCCAATCACAAAGTAAACCAAAAAGAGAATTATTCTAGGACCCAGATTTTCTTTAGTTTTGAGCCTTCCATCCACTTATTATTTTCTGAATTTCACTGGCTGCAACTTTAGTTTTTACGATATGGCCAGAGAGCACCTTATTCAACATTCCTTGGGTTGTTCTCTCCAGTGAACACCTGGGGCGTTCTCGTCACCATCAGGGGCTCCTGGTCACCCTGGCGATCAAGTGCAGCCTCCCGGGCCTGGAAGGCCAGCCCTTTGCTAGTCACGCCCCTTTGGGCCCCCGTCTGGTGCTCAGCTCCGTAGCCCAGCTGTGCCCCCCACCCCATGCTCCCGGGCGGCCTGCACCTGCGCCTCCGGGGGCTGCTCCTTCCTGCCTGCACCCAGGCGCCCCTGTTCATCAGGCCCAGCTGTGACATCACTCCCTCCAGAAAGTCTTTTTTTTTTTCTTTTAAGATTGTATTTATCTGTTCCTGAGAGACCCAGCGAGGGGCAGGGCCGCAGGCCCCATGTGGGCCCATGCAGGCCTGGATCCCCTCCCGGGGTCATGCCTGGGCCCAAGGCGGGCGCCCCACGGTGCAGCCCCCGGGTGTCGGGGGGCCCTCCTGGACACCCCCAGGACGGGCCCGGGGCTCATCGGGCTCCCAGGGGGCTGGCTTTGCCTTCGGGGCCCGTGCTCTGCCGGCTGTGCCCGGAGGTGCCGGGGTGGGGTGGGCGAGCGGGCGCGGGAGGCCCAGCGAGTGCCCCGTGTGCCCCCTGTGCTCCCTCAGAACTACGGCCGGGCCCCCGTGGCGGCACTGGCCGTGCCCGTGGCGGCGAAGTTCCTGGGCAGCGGCGACGCGGGCGTGTGCAAGAGCGTGTCCAGCTACCTGGCCCTGGCCGCCACGGCGCAGGCCGGCCTCCTGGCCCGGCACACGGACGCCATCGTGGAGAGCGCGCTGCGAGGTAGGCCGCGGGCGGGCGGGCTGGGGGGCTGCGGGCCGCGGGCTCCGGGGGGCGCCCCCACCGGGCAGGAGGCTCCCGGCCACCGAGCCGTCCCCTGCTGTCGGGGCAGCCGGGTCCCCAAGCAAGAGACGTTAGCGGAGCCGCGCGGGGGGACGTGTGACCCGGGCCTGACGCATGACTGTGTCCGGTCCCACCGTCGAGAAATCCAGCTGGGACGCCCCGCTCACTGCTCCACATTCGACTGGAAGAGACCAAGTTAGTGCAGTCCCGCTGCTCTCTGCCTTACGGTTTGTTGGGGTTTTTGTTTCCTTTGGTTTCACATCTATCAGAAGTCATGTCTTTACATTTTTTTCTTTTTTTTTAAATTTGGGATCAGAGAACAGTATAGGGTATTGTTTGATATGCATCCAATGTCCCCAGTTGCCATTAGCAGAAATGTAGGAGGCCCGTGAGCATTGGGCGCATGTTTTACTGCCACACACCCCACGTGCTCAAGTTGAACATCAACTCTGTAAAGCACTCCCAGACCAAGTGTTTTAGAGTCCCCAAGGGGCCCCACAGATGCACCCTTTCAGGGGTATCCAGACCCGGCCTTGAGCCCAGGCTGTTGGGCTGCACCTCCCGCCACCCCAGGCCCCGCAAACCCTGTGGCTGCTCCTCCGGAGGTCCCAGGAGCGGATTTCACTGCGCACTGCCTTGGCTGGGGTGGGAGCACCTGTCCTTCTGTGCCGCTACCCCCCAGAGCTTTGGGAGCCACCAGTCCTCAGCCCCCCACTTCCGCGTGGCAGCCTGTGGCAGGATCGGGTCAGGGGGACGCCTGTCTTGCTCCTTGGCGTCCCACTTTGGTAGACAGGCCCCAGAGTGGGGTTGCTTAGCTCCTGAGGCCAAACTATTCCCAAGTTTGCAGTAAAATGTATCCTTGTGCTGTGCCCAAAACATTCTCTCTCTTTCCTGGGCTCAGCTCTCCAGCTAAGAGTCAGGCTGGCGAGAAACCAGTCATCCGGTTCTCAGGATGACGGTGGCCCTCCAAGGCCTAAGGTTGTTTTTATCGTACCAGACGCTCCCCCTCCGCACCGTCTGACCAGCCACCTCAGCGGTCTACCAGGTGCCCACAAATGTCCGACCCCAGGCACAGCCCTGGAAATGCGTCACTCTACCTGGGTGCCCTCTGAAGATCTGTCATTGGTATTACGAGTCAGTAGCATTCATGTCTCATTTTCTTTGGCTATGGGATCGAACTGCTAATTTGACTTTTAATCGTGATACTAAATTTTCTAAAAGCCCAGAAAACCGGTTGTGCTTTTTTCACCACCTTGGCTACGTATCCGGGACAGATTTGACAGGATATTACAAACACTTATACACACCATACATTTTAAAATCACGAGAGTCAGACTTGTAAGTAACAGATTTGTTGGGAAAAAATTTTTTTTTTTTGTAGCTGCCAAGAACTTAGCTCATGTATTTGTTTTTGTTTTTTGTTTGTTTGTTTGTTTTTGGTTTTGTTTTTAAATGCACTTTCAATGATAAATCTTTTGAAACACAAAATGCACTTTCTGAATTCAGGGCAAGCATTTGAAACGAACAAATGATTTAGTTTATTTGATCTGGCATTATAAAAATTACCATAAGAGAAATGATAATCTGACTTATGAGAAGTTGGGACTACCTATTTCAGGGCTTAGATTTTTAAGACTAATGTGTCTATAAAACTCCACAACCATTCACGTGAGCCCATCAAACTTAGACCTGCCAAGTAGAGGAGATCTCCCTGTCTCTCGGTAAGTTTTCTGCTCTACAAATCTTTGTTATATCTTCTCTTTCTTTCCTTCCCTGATTCCCAACCAGCTTTGGGAGCCATCATTGGGATTTTATTTTTCTCTGCCTATCGTTTTCTCTCGTTTAGATCTTTCTCCTTAGCTTATATTACCTTAATCTGCGTTCTCCCATTTTTCTACTTCTACAGAAGATGCTCAAGTATGGTAATTTCTTGATTTGATCTTTTTTTTTTTTATAAGACTACAATTACAAAAATTGTAAAATCTTGTGTTGGGACATTAACATGATTCAGCTCAATTACCCAGGCGATGCTTAAATCCCCACCACGTGGTCATCTACTCAATAGCAATAATGACTATAGTAACAATTATAACTACGATGGCTAAAATTTATCTCATGCTCTCGTTATGCCAAATACTGTATTAAGCACTTTATATGGATTGTATCGTTTAGTCCTCCCAGAAATTCCTTTAAAAAAGCACCTTTATTATCTCATTTTACCAATTAGTAGTATTTTTTAAGTAATAGAAACCTCAGGTGTAAATAGCTTGATGATGATGACAGTGATGGTGATGGTGATGATGGAGACGAGGAAGAAAAGGAAAAGGAGAAGGAGGGAAAGGAGGGGAGGAAGAGGAAGAAGAAGAGGGGGAGGAAGAACTTCTTACCAGAACACATGACTGAAAAGGGCATAAGTATATCAGACTTCTCGTGTGGCTTGATTCAGGGCTCAGTGGCAGTCCCAGAAGTCATTACTTAGCTCTGCATCCTTTTGGATTGGATTTCCATGCGCCATGCTATGGCCCTCTGCAGTTTCCAGCTCACATCATCATGAACACCGATTCAGCAAAGAAACTCCATATCCAGTCTCATTGTCTCTATTTGACCTGACCTGGGCCACATGCCCATTTCTGAACCAATCCATCCTTGTTGACAGGGAATACAGGATTTCCATTGACCGGGCTTGGGTAATGAAACACCACCAAAGCAGGAAATGGGGGTCAACTGCAGTAGAACCCCCCGCCGGGGTGCAGATCACCACCCCCGACCAAATCCAGGGCTGTTGCCAGCAATGCTTAAAGTGAATACTGGGTACCAACAAACAGCTTTATGTATTTACTTTTATCCTTTCATACTTTCTTTTTTAAAGATTCAACCCATTGCTTTGGCATAACAAGACCTTATTAGACAATGATTCTCCCATTTCAGTGTATCTACAGTTCTTCCCAGGTTCTTGGCATCTAAATTTTTATGAACAGAACCACTCTACCTTCATTTTAAAACGCTAATGGAAGGGCCCCTGGGGGGCTCAGTGGTTGAGTGTCTGCCTCTGGCTCAGGCCGTGACCCCGGGGTCCCGGGATTGAGTCCCACGTCGGGCTCCCTGCAGGGAGGCTGCTTCTCCCTCTGCCTGTGTCTCTGCTTCTCTTTGTGTGTGTCTCATGAAGAAATAGATAAAATCTTAAAAAAAAAAAAAAAAAAACACTAATGGAAAAGTAGGCCAGATGGGGCCAGGCAAGGCTTGCAGTATACCAGTGGTGACTGCTCCTTCTACTTGGTTGATATTACTCCATTGATCATATTTTTATGTTGTGTTATACATATGTCTGTCCCCGATTCCAAACCAAATGCCTCCTTTATGCTTGTGAGTCAATCACGAGAGACTGTCAAATGAGCTTATGTATTTTTCCCTGAAGGCAAATATTTCAATTGTTCCAAGCCAATTTTTACTTCTTTTCATTATTAATAATAATATATAAGTAATAATGTTGACTTTTACATGAAATGCAAATAGAAATTGATTTTATTTAAATTGCTTGGACTCCATTTGTCTGTTTTGTATTCTCTGAATTCTCCTAGTAAGAAAGAAATTGAAAAGTCCTTTCCGTTTGGAGAAAAGATTAAAACCATGAACGTTATTGCTTTGGTTCAAACTTAAGAGCTAACGGGCCAGAAAACCTGAATATCCTTATAACAAATAAGGCAATTATGTCAGTACTTTTACATCAACCACCCCCCTCGCCCCCAAAAGAAAAAAAAAAAACCTGTCCCACTTACTTTTATAGACCAATCAGAAAAAAATATGCAAGTAATAATTACAGGCTTGACTGAACTTTTTCAGATAACTGAAAAACATTCTCTAGCTAATTCTTTGAGGCTAGTATATATGCAATATCAAAACAAGAAAAGGAGAACATAAGAAAGGAAAATGCCAGCCCATTTTAATTATGAACATAGATGCACAAATCACAAATAAAAATGACTCCAGCAATGCTTAAGGAAAATAATAGTTAACATTTGCTGAATGCTTCCTGTGTACCATTTTCTGGTCTTTTAACTCATGTAATTCTCCCAATATCTTATGAGGAAAGAACTATTGTTATCCTCATTGTATAAAATTCACAACGATTCGGCTGAGTTTGTCCCAGGAATATAAGAATGTCTTAATATTCAAAATGTAATTCCCCACAGTAAAAGACTAAAAAGTCATGTGATCAGTAAGAGCAAAAATTCAGGACCCATGCATGAAAAGGAAGTTTTTTGAGAGCTAGGAATTTTGCAGAACTTCCTTAAACTGTTTAAGGGAATATCGTATATGTATATATACATATGTATATAAAATTATTATCTATAATTAAGAGACTACCATATATACACCTACATACATATGTATATCCTCTTCTTTTGTAAAATTCAAAGTCTGTCTATGGCAAAAAAAAAAATCTCTACAAACTAGTAATAGAAAGGAACATCCTTAATTTAATAAAATGTATCTACAAAAACCTACAACTAAAATCATCCTTAATGGGAAAATACGAAGTTCTTCCCCTTGAATTAAAAATAAGGGCAGCCCGGGTGGCTCAGTGGTTTAGCACCACCTTCAGCCCAGGGTGTGATCCTGGAGACCCAGGGTCGAGTCCCACGTCGGGAATAAATAAATAAAATCTTCCAAAAAAATAAAGTAAATAAAAAATAAAAATAAAAAATAAGACAAGGATGTCACTTAGGTAACAAATTTATTTCAGCTTAAATAATATCAGAAGTAATTTAGTATTTTGTGACATCACCTTTTCAGGGTGGGAGTCATTTTTCAGTATTCCTGAATAATTCTCCAAAGTTGTTCTTTGCCGTGTAGATGCCTAGGAGAGCCTGCCCGGTATTGGCATATGACAGCAGTGCTTAGTACAGCATCATTTAGCACATCTTTTACCCAGGAAGCTG